ATGACCGAGGATACAGGAGGCAGAGGCCCTAGCTGCAGTGTGGAAGGGGCCCACGTGTTGGCAGCTTGGTGCCTGGTGGCAGCACAGGAGGCAATGTGGGCCTTGAGCCAGGCATGGTGCTGCATTCCAAGACAGGAGGGTGGGAGTTCAAGGCCAGCCTGGGCTGCATGGTACACCCCTGTCTCAAAGCAAAATGACAACAAAAAAACCAGGGCTTACTGGGAGGTCGTTGGGTCAGCTGGAAGTACTGCCCTTGGAAAAGACTTAAGAATTTCTTAGGGTTCATTCTGCCCCACGTAACTGCTCCAGCTTCTGCTTACAAAGCACAATCATATCTCCCATATGTGTTTGCACTAATCTCCCTGAGGTCCTCCCCAGAGCCAGGCCAATTTGGCAGCCATGCCCTAATCTGCTGCCACTGCTGCCATGTCCCCCTCCTCCATCCTCCCTCTCTCTGGAGTGTTGGGAATTGGACTCGGAGGCTCATGAATGCTAGGCAAATACTTTACCATTAGGTTTTGACTTTTTGAGACAAGGTCTTGCTAAGATGCCCAGGCTGGCCTCAAACTTGTGATCCTTATGCTTCAGCCTCCTGAGTATTAATGGTGTGTACTACCGTAGCAGGGTATAGGCATGTTGGCATATGCCTGTAATTCCAGCATTCTAGGAGGCTGAGACAGGAGAGTTGCAAATTTGAACCTAACCTGAGCAACCTGACAACTTAGCAATACCCTCTCTCAAAATAAAAAATAAAAATGATCTGAGTTGTAGTTCAATGTGAAGGCCCTGGGTTCAATCCCCAGTACTGGGAATGGGAGATGCCACTATACTGGGAAGCCTCCTTTCTATTTAAAGTTAGCCTGCATTGGATATTTTGTTACAGTAAGGAAAACCAGACCACACAACATCCTGGGAATACAGGTGCAAGAAAGGAAAAGAGAAAAATGGAGCTGAAAATGAGAAAGTTCATTAAATCCTGTGTATTTCCTGTAATGTCCTCCTTACCAGCATACTCAAACACAGACTTTCTACCAGTCAGAAAACCAGAGGAATTTTTTTTCCTTAAAGAAAATTTTAAAAGTAACTACTCTTAAGGTGTAGGCGTGGTAACGCCCACCTGTAATGCCAGCACTCTGAAGGCTGAGGCAGAGGATTGCTATGAATTTGACACCAGCCTGGGCTACATAGAGAGATCTGTCTCAAAAAAGCAAACAAAAAGAAGAAAGAAAAGAAAAAGTAAAACAAAGAACAAAGAGCTTCCACATTATATCTAACTCTATTAAATTACCCTAAAACAAAGCCCCCAGAGTGCAGAGATGATTGTTAAAATAGGACTCTTATGGAGCTAGCAGGACATTTGTTTGCATTGCTCTTAAATATGAATGACAAACAAGGATGTGCCTAGCCATCTGTCCTACAGTGGGAAAGGGAAGAGCCAAGATGACACAGAAACGGGATCCTGGAGGCAGTGAAATTCAGGACACAGGTGCAATCGTAAGCAAAACCTCTCAAATTTATATCCTTTGAAGAGATTTGAGGAGATACTACAAGCATAAAATATGAGCAGGTTACAGCATTAGAGCAGGTGCTGTAATCCAAGCACCCTGGGAAGCTGAGCCAGGAGGATCACAAGTTCAAGTCCAGTGTGAGCACCTTAGCATCTTAGCTAAATTTTAGAAATTTTGTTAGTACATGTTTACAATACCTAATGATTATATTCAGTTCATGCAGTTGGTAGATGCAGAGCTAGGGATGTTGCAGTGTGTAGGCCCTGGGTTCAGTCCTTAGTAACACACACACACACACACACACACACACACACACACACGAATAGATGCTTTGAAAAAGGAGCCACTGGAGAAAAAGAAGAATTACTTAGAAATTAAAAATGATTTTCTATAAATTAGGAAAAGACAGAGATGAAAATGGGAGATGAGAGATATAAAAGAACAGTCTAGGTGTCCAACTTGTTACTGTAAAAAAGAAAAAAAAATGGAGAAAGTGAAACAGTATAGAATTTTTCAAAAAAAAATTTGTGCTTTTCAATTAAGCACTGCACTGCCAAGGTATACCCCTGGCCCAGAATTGTCCAAAATTGAAAGAGATCTTGACTTCTTTAGCATAATGAATGCCATTACATGTGAGATATAATGTAAATATAAAGATACAAATACAGATACACCTTTGGAAAATTTTAGGACACTGAGACTAAAGAGGCAACATACTTCTAAGGAAAAGAAGCCTTCAGAGGAACAAGGACAGGGTTGGTATGAGCCGCATGAATGATAGGGCTCAATGGTGCCCTTGGTGTTCTCTGGGGAGATGTTCTCAACATAGGGTTCTGTACCCTTCCAAAGTGTAAACTAAGGGTAGCAACCAAAGGTTCCAGAAGTTTACTTCCCACATACCTGTTCTGAGAAAGTTACTTCAGACTGTGTTCCAGTGAATCAAAAAAGTCAAGAAATTCAAAAACAGAAACTAAAATCCAAGAGAATAATACAGGGAAACATCAAGATGTGAATGAAGCCTGTGAGAGTCAATTTCTTACAGCAGAAAGACTGATAATTCCAGATGGGAGTTATCTGGGGCAAGAAGGGGTATGTTAAGAAACTTAATGCCACCTTCAAAAATTTGGAATGACCTAAAAAGATTTTCACCTGAAGACAGAAGAAAGAAAAGCAATTACAAACTTCAGGAATGAGTTAACACAGAAAGCTAGATGACAGAGCCTCCCATCAAAGTATACAACTCTTAGTTGGGTGTGGTGCACGCATGCTTATAAGCCCAGCTTTTGGGAAGCTGAGGCAGGATCATCATGAGTTCAAGACTAGCTTGGGCTACATAAGTGAGTTCAAGACCAGCCTGCACTACATAGTGAGATTCTGCCTCAAAGAAATAAATAAATAAAAGAAGAAGCTGTATACCCCTCTTAGCTACACAGAGAGCAATGTGTATGTACCAAAATGTGGGCACCGTTTATGGATTTTAAACTGAGTCAGTATTCAGACAAAAGGAGGACTTAGGGTAGCAGGACAGGTGATGTTAGCCTGGGCTCACGGTTAGAAAGAGAGAGAAAAACTAAAGCTTAAGAGAGGATGCAGATAACATTCTTTTAAGAAGTATGAACATAAAAGAAATGATTAATTGGTGGAACTAAAAAATAAAAGCACAAAGATACCGCTTTATAGTTACATAGTAACCAGTGGAGAAAATAAAAATAGTAACATGACCATATGGACAGCAAAGGAAGATAATATGGGATAGTTACACACAGCATAATACTCTCATATGTTAAAGAAATCAGTGATAACATTTCAAGTTCACACAAGAAATAATAATTTATTATTTAGTGAACAGAAGAAGCAAAATCAGAAAAAATTAAGTGACTTTTAATTTTAAATAATTGTCTCCAAATGATAGAACAGAGAAAACTGAAGTTTTCTTTGCTTTTCATTAAAAAATAGTATTTTGTCCTCTTCTTTTTAAAAGTCATTAATTTTTATTCCTTTAAAAAGAAAAATTTGGGCAGAGGATGGAAGAGGGGGAAGAAGGAGAGAGAAATAGAAAAATTCTGAAATTATCATGCAGCCTATTTAGAAATGCCAAGGTGGCCTCAGATTTTTCTGAGACTAGAGACATACCCAGATATTCCAACATTTCCTCCTCCCTGCCTCTCTCCCCAAATATGTACATATATGCAGGCATATCTACACGTGTATACATATGTCCATGTATACATATGTCCATGTGTACAAAGGGTGACTGAAAGATACAAAGAAGGTTTAAACTTTGAAAACTTACTACAGAAGACACATTGCCAAGAATGAGAAGTATATTTGAGTCAAGGGGACAGTTTGAATATCTAAAGGAGAGCAAAGGCAATGTGTCTTTTAGTGTAATCAATTTTTTAAGTTAAATATTCACATGTCTTTTGAACACCCTTCTGTAACCAACTATTTATGGTGATCTCCATCAAATGAAAACATCACTATGTATCCTTACTTAATCATGTGACTTCTGGCTCTGCCCCTGAGTGGTAATGACCATGGATCCATTCAGGCATCAAGGCTGCCATAAGAGCACAACTAGAGACATGAAAGAGGATTTTTAAAATTGCTTCAGAAAGAGCAAGAATGATGGGATAAGGGTGTTCAAAGCAAGAGGGATTATTTTCAGGGGGACAGAGGAGTTGAGACAGGGTTTCACTATGTAGTTCAGATTGGCCTTGAACTCACTGTGTAGCCCAGGTTGGCCTCAAACTCACAGTGATCCTCCTGCCTCAGCCTCCTGAGTGCTGGGATTTCAGATGTGAGCCATCATGCCCAGCAAAGGGGAGTATTTTGAGGAATCTTAATGGTAATATATCTTTTACCATAGTAAATTTTTAAGAATTTAAGCATTCATGGTATGTTTTGATCAATTGCCTGCATGTTCCCCACCCAGATTCCCCACCTCAGGATTCCCCTCTGGTGCAGCATCATTGGTGCTCACTCGCCCTCTACCTGTGTATTTTCCAGACCATTGGAGGGCTGCACATACGTCTGGACCCTTGGCCCTAGCAACTCAGAAATGCTTTGTGGAAATAGTCTCGTATAATCACCATAAATTTGATGGTGATGCAAAACTTTCCCCAGGCAATCTCAGGAATCATCTTCCTACTGCAGCTCTCCCCTTTCAGAGTCTGTTTGGTCAGAAATCTGCAGCCTATTCTCTCCCTGCTTTCTGGACCTCTAGGGTTCACCCTCATTTTTCTATTTTTGTTTTAAGGTTTTTTTGTTCTGTAAATATTTACATGATCCCCACAGACACATGCTTAAAAGTAAAGCATGTAGTAGATTTCTGTTTTGGAAGAAATCCTGTGAGCCTTTTTCTTTCCAAAAACCACAAGCACTGTCATTTGAGACTTTGATCTTTCTTTTGAAACATGAATTTTATGGATACATTTCTAAAGGTTTAACAGAGTTTTCCTTTTCTGACTTATTTTGCACTTCCATTTATAGTTTGAAAAAGTGCCAGAGGGTATTATCCCTCCTTCTACACCGAAGTTTGCATATGGAAAAGTTGCTCTGAGAAAGGTAAGAAAGACAAACTATGGGAAGCATGAAAACAGAGCAGGAGTGGGCTTGGGGTTTAGTCATAGGGGCTGAAGTGCAGTCCTGGGGAATGGCTTCATTATTTTTCTGAAAATCTATCGGGTTGGTGCCATTGCTGGGGAAATGGAGTGAGGGAGGATGAAGTCTGTGTGCATGCTCACAGGAGGGCACATCCGTGTGCACAGTGTGGGCGTCCTGAGGGCGTTCTGGTCGTTCAGTTCAAGGATCATTTATGGAAAGTGCCAAGAGCACTGGTGGACATCGCATACTCTTTCTTCATTATGCTGCCTAATGAGGCGAGGCTCTTTCCATAAGTCACGCATTCTTTAAGGAGTTCTCCAAAACCACAAGACGTTTTATGTTTCTACCCTAACTTGTATACTCGCCATTGATCTCAAATTCATGTCCTAACTTTTATAATCTGGTTTATTGGTAAGTGAGAAATTCAGGAAAAGAGATAGAAATTAATCATAAATAAAAGACAAGGATGTTTATTCTAGAGCAGGAGCGAGATTTTATTTAATAGTCAGATGCAGTGACATGAGCCAAGTTGATTTGTTTTGATTGTCTGTGTCTTCAGGTTTTTCCCTCTTACAACCCCTAACTCCTACATGTGTTCATTCACAAGAAGAAAACACACAAGCACTACTTATTTCTTAAGAATTTTGACATTCTAAAATAGCATCATAAGCTTTTATCTTTAACCAAAATGCCAAACATGATTGTATAATTTTTCCATTCAAGAAGCCCTTTGACATGGTTGGTTGATTGGGCTCTTGTAACATTTTCCGCCTAGTGTCAGATATGTGTGCGACATTCTACAAAGAATGTGGTCTCTCTGTCTGATAGGAATCTCTCTTTAGTTTAATCAGACTTTAATCACACTTACGAAGGGAGCACTTTCCTTCTACTTACTCGTTGCTGCAGTTACTTAAGGAGAAGGTTGTTGATTGATTTTAGAACTGTGAAAATTCATTTTTATGCAATAGATAATAACTCCAAATGTTTAAAACCGGAACACTGCTTTTAAAAAACCTTACTTAGTACCAAAAGCACATACTGCTTATAAGGAAGGAAAACGATGTAAGCAACATGGCTTTTCATTATTTAACCTAAATGTATACAACTTATGTATAGCAATGTATAGCAAATAGACATGTAACTGGATTCAGTTTACATAGAATATAGTTATATAGAGTATAAGCTTCTATTATAAGTTACATTCCTTTAGTTGTCTGGGTGGGAAAATAACCCATATGAGTAACTGGCTTGATGGAATTATAATTAAGATTTTTTTTTGCCCAACACAGTGGCATATACCTGTAATCCTAGAATTCTAAGAAACTGATTCGAGAGGATCCCAAGTTCAAGCCCAGCCTGGGCAATTTAGTGAGATCTTATTTCAAAAGTTAAAAAAAAAAAAAATTCTACAGTGCTGCACAACAACCAGGCATCTTTGGAAATTGTTTATAAAATTCTCACTGGGCATGGTGGGGCATGGCTGTAATCCCAGCATTCTGGGAGGCTGAGGCAGGAGGATTGCTGCAAGTTTAAGGTCAGCCTGAGCTGTGTAGTAAGTTCAAAGCTGGCCTGAACTACATGGTGAGACCCCATTCACCCCCCCCCAAAAGTTTAAAGACTCCTAATCAGTTTTATGCTGGGAAATATCTGGGTTTTAGATAGATTAACTGCCCTTCCTTGCTCTCATTGCCTGAGTTAGCTGCTCTGAGTCTCATGAGAACAGTAATGCCTGCCAGTGTCCCTGGGCACTTGTGAGGATTGAACAAAGTAAAAGTTGTATTATGCTCAAACTCACATGAAATAGTTAAGACACAGGGTAACCGGTAACTGTTGTTAGTGCTCTTATTGTTGCACTAGAATAAACTCCCTGCAGTGGAAGGCCGTGGTCCCTTGGACTGAACACAAGGAACATTCAGCCTGTCTACCAGGTGCTAGGCAGCAGGGTGAGCGCAGCACCAAACAAATGCTAAATGACAGCGGAACATTTGCCACAGACAAGCTCACAGGAGGGCAGTAGCTGTAAAAGAATTACAGTGAGGTGCGTAACGGCACGTCCCAGCTTGGTGCAGGTGCTTCTGGTTATCTACTTTCCTTATAGTTATTTCACCTGAAGATGTTATGGAGGAAGCAGCTGCTGGTTTCCATGTATTTCAGGAAACCAGCGTTGTATTTATCCCTGAGCAGGTTCTATTTCTAAATGAGTAGTTTGAAATTCTCTAAGACTACCATCACTTACATTTTTCATCAAGAGTTAGGGAGTGGTTTATGAAAAGGACCAAAAATTACTAGAAACCAGCACTGAGTAGAATTTGAATGAGCTCGGTTTATTTTGGGGTTTGGTCTAATCCACGAATGTGTCTGATATTTGGGCATAATATTGCTGTCCTTATCCCTGACAGGCGACAGTGAGTTTCTTTCCTTTCAGTTAAAGACGGTGGAGGGAGCTCTGGACATCCTGTGTACCAGAGGGTCCATGAAAAGTGTTTACCCCTTGACATTTATCCAGGTGAAACAGGTAGGCCTTCAAAGGTAAAGCTCTACCTTTTTCTGCTGACACAGTTGTGCTCTCTGCACCTCCTTGCAGAGCCTGCAGGCTGGTGAGGGAATGAGTGAAATAAAGCTGGGACGGGGAACCCCGCTCTCCAGGCTCTTGAGCTACATGGCGGCTGATCTTTCTAGTTTTAGTGTCAATTTTAGTGTCAACCTGCTTTAGCAGATTTTGTAAATGTTATGAATTCAAGACACTGGCTGACGTACTGAATTTTTATTAGGCACCCATAGAGAACCACTATTTTAATACTCACGGAAGAAACTTAATTCTTAGCACAGTGATATAGGCACTGTGGTTTTGGTACACTTTTTTGTACATTGTTTTTCCTATTTTTGAAGAGAACAAAGTATATCTTGTTTTCATGTGTGTGTATATATTTTTGTGTTTACTGTTCACATACTCCCTTTTCATTTTTTAGAGTTTTTTTCCTGATTAGCTTAGCAAATTTCAGATCTAAAAAGTGGCAAGAACAAGTACTCCACAGACACCTAAATAGTACTTTTCCACTCAGATTCAGTTAACAGTTACTTCAGTTGCTTTATTTTTCTCTCCTATGTATTTGGTTTTCTTCCTTTTTTTGTTTAACCATTTTTAGCTGTCAGCACCACCCCTATATATTGCAGCCTTTTGAGAAAGAAGATATTATCTTGCATGACTACAATACTCTGATCAAACTTAAGAAATTTAACCGTGATACCATCCTGTTAGCTGGTCCCTAGTCATCCCAATAACGTCCCCTTTACATTTTTTTCAAACCATTTTCCAATTTGAAATGTCTCTTTAGTCCTCATATATCAGATACTGTTCCTATACTTATTGCTCTTGAGTGGGTCATTTTTCAAGAGTTTAGGTTGTTTGTAGTCTGTCCCTCACTAATTAGATTAGGAAAGAGTGTTTGGTGATGAGCATTTCCCAGGGCACGTGATTCTCTGGTTGTCATGGGATCTCAGCACCATTTTTTGAAATGTTAGGTTATCTGAGCCTTTCTGATTTTCTGTGGCGGTCACCTTCTAGGAGTCTAAAAAATAAGGTGACACAGTAACAACATAGCAAAGTTGAGTGTATTTTGCCTCCAGCTACTATTTCCACCATAATTTTATTGTACCAACTCTGTCATATAATTGCAGTGGTAACCAACCCCTCTATACCCACACATTCCTTACTGACATTGGGTGGGGGTTTTTCGCCTAGCATATGCTGGCTACGTCCTCATCTCTAAAGTGGGACTTGGCTTCACTGAGCAGAGCCAACGAACACTCACAGAAGACAGAGGCACAGGGTGCGAGCAGCCTGGAGAGCACTTGGAAGTTCACCTATGAGTCTGCACAGCCGCAGCGGCTTTTGCTTTCTGATCTTTGGCGCCAGCAGCCCTCTCTGGTGGGGCTCCTGGCCCTGGCTATTTCAGGCCTGGGCAAGCACCTAGAATACTTACTTTCAGCGACATTGCAGGGGTGGGGAAGGGCAGGCTGTAGGACTGGGGCAGAGCCTGGGGCCTCTGCAGGCTGCTCTCTGACCCTGAGACTTCAGCTACATCTGTGTACAGGGACACCCTGGCTTCTACTGCACTCCTAGAAGCCCTTTATAGAATTTTCTGCAGTTTCAGAATGAGCATTCACCACTTCGGCTCATTTTGGTAAACAAATGAGGGAGACAGGTGCTTGAAAGTCTGGGCAGGATGAGTAAGATTCCCTGTGCACAGCTGGTTCCTGCACCCAGGGAAGTTGAGGAATGTTTTCCTTAGCTCCTCCTCCTTCTACTTCAGGCCCAGAAGTCAGGATCTTTTTCTCTATTGCGTGCTAGATTCCTATTTGGATTCTCTCCTATTACTGAGGATGTTGTCTCAGCTCACCATTGCTCACGCCCGCAGCAAGCAAGAAATGAACAAAATCAGTAACTAATTCTGTGGGTCCTAAGGCTAGTTCACACCTTCATTCAGGGTTAGGGATGTCAGCCTCTAAAACTAACTTCAAATTTAGCAACAGTTACAGTCTAGCCTCTCACCTCTCTTTCTCTCTGTTGCTTCACTTTAAATAGTTTCAGTTGAGTCTTGTTTTCCATGAGAGCAGATTTAGCCCAAGAACCTGAAGAGTTTACATGAGCAGAACTTTATTTCATGGCTCTGTTGGTGTTTGTGTCTTGTTTCTTTTTTGGGCTTTCTTGATTTAGTTTTCTGAGTTAACATCAGTACCTTTTGATATGATTCCATCCCCTGAATCACTCCAAGCAGATGACTAAACCTGCCAGTGGAACAGGGACGCTTGGTAAGAGACTCTTCAAGGCTGCCTGCAGCTTATGAACAGGATAATTATGCAAAGATCTGAAAGCCTAAACTGGTTCCCTTGAGCTTTGCTGGTTGTATAGGAAGCTTATTGTTCCTTATCATGTTCAAAACATCCCTATCATACAGATTTAGAGAAACCAAGTTCTCCTTCGATGAACAGCAATGATATCTTTTTTTTATATCCTTTTCTAACCAGTATTTTGGGTTTGTGCTGTACCGAACAACAATTCCTGAAGATTGTGGCAACTCAACACGCCTCTCTTCTCTACCCTTGAATGGAGTCCACGATCGGGCCTATGTGGCTGTAGACGGGGTAAGAGTCTGAACAGTGCGTTTTTGCCCTGACGGGGATGTGGAACTTACTAACATGGCACTCAAGGCCTTTGCTTGCCTCTTTGGCCTCGGGCCCTGGCCTCTTGAAATCCCTTAGCTCTGCCCCTTGCTCATAGATGCCACCTCTGCCAGAGCCCGTCTTCCTGGAACACTCCCCATGCGCACCCCAGCTCTAAAGACTCTGCTCAAAGACCCACCGGCTGCGAGTGCCTCTGCATCTCCCTGCCCTGTGCCATCCTTCTCTGCCTGGCCGTAGTGTGTGCCCGTGCCCTGTGTTCCTGAAGGGTAGCATGCATTCCTGGTTGTTTTGTATCTGACACTACACAAAGCTGACCTTGCCACCTTGCCCTGATGAGAGGTTGTGTTCCGAAGGATTGCTTGTGCCAGTTACAACTGAAAGACATCAGGAACTTGATTTCATAAACAAGTGCAGAGAGTGTAAAATATCCATTCCTATCAGTGAGACAGTCATAGGAAAGGACACGTGAAAAGATATACATATCCAAGAAAATTTGTTCAGAAAAATTTAAATATTTTCATTATTTTGTAATCAGCAGCTTTAATTTCAGTGAGGAGAACATCTGAAACATGATACTGTATTTATGGTGATTGATTATTTTCTGGTCTGCTGTTTGGGAGTTATCTTAGTTGTGGTCAATGTAATGCCAGTTGAAAAAAAAATCAAACAACCTTTTAAAAAGTTAAGAATATGTTGCTCACAAAATACCTGTTATTTTCCTTCATTCTGTTGCATAATTTTGTGGTTAATGCATCCTATCAACCATTTTGAGGTGAAAATAACTCCACCTAATTCTGATTTTTATCTTGGTTCTCTGATTTGTCTCCTCTCTCCATGTGGTGAAGAAGCTAAAAGTGGCTGATTTTTGTACTGTGAAAACATAAAGCAGCTCCTCTAACAGGAATTTTCCTCCATTCTCTTTCCTTTAAAAATAGGTGAGCAGTAAAACTTCCCAAAGCAGCCAGGCATAGTGGCACTTGCTTGTAATCCTGGCACTTGGGAGGGGAGACAGGAGGATCACTGTGAGTTCAAGGCCAGCCTGGGCAACATAAGCATGTACAAAGGCAGCCTGAACTGGATAATGACACCCTATCTCCACAAAAAACTTTCCAAAACAGTGGAAACCAGCCTCCCTGTGTCTGTCATTTTCCAGTTTGGCATCCCATTGACTGGGGGAGCTTGGCCACCAGGCAAGTGACAGGGACTTAGGGTCTCAAAGCAGTCCCTCCGGGTCTGGTCCCTGCCTGATGTGCCTGCAGGCCTGCCGAGGCTCCCAGCAGGACAGTGACGTGAGGCTGCACACTGCCTCCTCTTTCCACTCAGTTCTGATTTGGCCTTGAACCCACAGGCTCCCCAGGGAGTCCTCGAGCGAAGCCGTGTGTTGTCTCTGAACATACAAGGGAAACCTGGAGCCAACCTGGACCTTCTGGTGGAGAACATGGGGCGTGTGAACTATGGCAGATATATCAATGATTCCAAGGTAAGGTGAGTCACAGTGGCAGGGCCGAGACGGGACTAGAGAAGCCGTATCCATTTAAAAACTCGCAGATATATTCTTTCTTTTCACCTCTGTTAACTTATAAGTAAATTTTTTTATATATTTAAGAAGTAAAACTGGATGCTTCTCGGTGGGCATACATTGTGAAGCACTTTTTAAGAACACACACACACTGCTAGGCTTGTTGAGTGAACCACCCTGGATTGTCTTACAACCTAGAAGACGAATTCTTTGGAAGAATTCTGTTCCTCTGCAAGTGATGAGCAAGTTGAGCTTTGTACCCGGATCACTTCCCTTGAGCTTGAATTTGCTGATCCTGTAGTGAAAAATGTACTGTAATTTTCAATATATATATATAAATCTTTTATTTCCTTTGTTAGATTGATTCCCAAATATTTCATTTTTTGGAGGCTATTGTGAAGGGTGTCATTTCCCTAATTTCTCTCTCAGTGAGCATCTTATTTGTATACAGGAATGCTATTGTTTTTGGGGGGATTTTTTGTTTGTTTATTTGTTTTTGTACCAGGAATCAGACTCAGGACCTTGTGCTTGACAGACAGGCGTTTATGCCACTGAGCTGTATCACCAGCCCTGCCACTGATTTTTGAGTGTTGACTTTGATACAGCTACCCTACTGAATTTGATTATTAGCTCTAGGAGTCTTTTGATGGAGTTTTAGGGGTTTTCTATGTAGAGTATCATGTAATTTGTTAATAATGATAGTTTAACTTCTTCCATTCCTACCCTTACTCCTTTTATTTCTCTCTCAGAAAATGAAAAGATATCCCTTGCTCTTATAAAGGAAGAACCAGGGGCTGGGGATTTAGCTCAGCGGCATAAGCGCCTGCCTTGCAAGCAGGCAGTCATGAGTTCAATCCCTGGTACCGGTAAAAACGAAAAAGACAAAAAAAAAAAAAAAGAAAGAAAGGAAGAACCAACAGTGGAAATGGCCATATTTCCAAAATTACTATACAGATTTAATGCAATTCCAATCAAAAACCATAAACATGTCTCACAGAACTGGAGAAAACATTCCTAAAATTCATCTGAAAACAGAAGAGACCTACAATAGCAAAGGCAGTCCTGGGCAACAAAGGCATCACAATCCCTGACCTGAAGTTATACTACAAAGGCACTGTTATAAAATCATCATGGTACTTGCAAAAAAACAGACCTGAGGATCAGTGGAACAGATTAGAAGATGCAGACACAACTACAGACACTCTTATCCACCTTATATTTGACAAAGGGGCCAAACATGTTCACTGGAAAAAAGACAGACTCATTACTAAATGGAGCTTGAAAAACTGGCTCTGCATATGCCAAAGACTTAACTCTAGTCTATCACTGTGCACTACACTAAAGTTAAAATGGATCAAAGATATAAATATTAAAACAGAAACACTCAATCTACTGGAAGAGAAAGTAGGTAGAAATCTTGAAAAAATAGGTGTAGGCAGAGATTTCTTGAACAAAACCAAACAGCACAGGAAATACTTCAAAGAATCAACAATTGGGATCTTACTTTATTAAATAGCTTTTGTACATCACAAGAAATCACCAGCAGAGTGAAAAGACAACCCTCAGAGTGTGAAAAAGTTTTAGTCAACTGTCCTCAGACAAAGGATATTATCTAGAACATATAAAGAATTGAAAAAATCAGACCCCCCCATTCAAAGACCCAATCCAAAAATGGGCTGGTGAGATAAATACATACTTTTAAGTTGAAGAAATACAAATGGCAAATAAATGTATGAAAAAATGTTCAACATCATTGGTCATCTGAGAAATGCAAATTAAAACAACTGAGATTCCATCTCATTCCAGAAAGAATGGTCATCATCTAGAAATAAACCAAAAACAAATATTAGAGGAACTATGGGGAAAAAGGAACTCTTCCCTACTGTTTGTGGGAATGCAGACTGGTATAACCACTGTGGAAATCATTGTGGAGATTAGGATTAGAGGTCCCATTCTATCCAGCTATTGCCTTCTGGATATTTTCCCAAAAGAATTAAAAACAACATATTACAGTGATATATGTACACCCATTTTTTGTTGTTGTTTAACTTTTTATCAGTACCGGGGATCAAACTCACGACCACCTGCTTGCAAGGCAGGTGCTTATGCCGCTGAGCTAAATCCCCAGCCCCCCTGCATGTTTATAGCTGCACTATTTGTAGTAGCTAAATCTTGGAAACAACCCAAATGCCCATTAACTGAGGAACGGATAAAAAAGATGTGGTACTTTTATACATTGGTATACTACTCAACCATAAAGAAGGATAAACTAGAGGCTTTGGTAGGGAAATGGATGTAGCTTGAGATCATCTGAAATAAATCACACACGCATGTGTACCATTGTATTGTCTCCCTGAAGGAGTAAATAGGATCCAGAGTGTACAACAGATATGGTTTATTTCTTTTTTTTTTTTTTTTTTTGCTACCGGGAATCAAACTCCTCATGCTTGTCAGGCAGACACTGTGCCGCTGACTTTATCCCCTACCCTATAATAGATATTTTGAAGTGAAAGGAAGCTGTTCAAAGGGAAAAAGGGAAAGAGAAACTGGGATGAGGGAAAGGAGAAAAGAAGGAAAGGAAAGGGAAGAAAAGATATATATATATATAAGCACACAAAACAGTTAATATGGTTACACTACTAACTGATATTAGTTCATTGAAAAGAAAGGTGTGTACCTATATGATTTGATCAATCTTTCATGTCTTTAGCTTGTAATAGAAGCAACTACTTTGAGAACAACAATATACAATGTACCAACTATTGTTACTCTCCCATAATCTTGTTTTGAAATTTTGTTTTTATTGGTTTCTTTGGGTTATTCTGGTACTGGGGGTTGAACTCATGATCTAGAGCTTGCCAGGCAGGGATTTACACCACTGAGCTAAATCCCTGGCCCTATTTTTATTGTTTCTTTTTTTTTTAAATAAAATTCAAAAAAAAAAAAAAAGAAAGAAAATCCACCCCCTACACCCTAAGAAAAGGAGGAGGCCTCTTCCCTGAGCTCTCCCTCCACTTCCGAGACCTACCATGCTCCTCAGAGCTGCCCCCTTGCAGGCTCTGGCCCAGCTCCCAGTGGGCTCCGGGTCTGTGGCCTGGGCTCTGGTGTGGTAGGAAACCTTTCATTGCCACACTGCCTCTCGCCTCACTGGTCCCTCTGAGCCCAGGCGTCTCATCTAAATATGTTTTTGCAGCAAATACTTCAAGAGCATTATTCAACAAGCTTTTAAGTTCACATGATGTCCCCTAAGGTGCTTCAGGGGGTTCAGAGGCATCAAATGTGATCTCCTCCCTAGCAGCTCACCACCTGCAGGAGTAAAGAAGTTTCCTCCAAGGTTCTCCCGGTACCATCCCTCTAGCACTGGAGGGGTCTGGGGCTACTTCCTGACCCCTTTGGGGGAGTTCAGAGGTAGGGTAGTTACACACTGAGGTACATCAACCATGATGGTCTTGGCCCCTGGTGCTCAGGCCATGGTCACTAGCTTCCTATCTGGCTGTTGCAGACATGCTGACCATAGGGTGAGCAGGACTGAGTTGTGCAGTCTCAGGGCTCACAGTACTTCACAAAAAGCCTGGCACACAACTGCCTGCTTAGTGTTTAATTATGAAAAGGGCAAAGGACACTTAAGACTAGAAGGTGCCCTGAGACAAAGTTGAGGTTCCACTAAGAATGTGGAAGGTCCCTACATAAAAGGGAATAAAAGGGTAGGGGGCCATAAACATAGGCTTTTGGTTGATATCTTATACCCAGGGTCTCTGCAGTCCTGGCCCTTGAAGGACAGATAGAACAACATCCCAAACCCATTTCTTTCTTTTTTTCTCTGTCTTTTTGAGACAGGGTTTCACTGTGCAGTTCAGGCTGGCTTCAAACTCACAGTGGTCCTCCTGCCAGTCTCCCAAGTGCTGGAATTACAGGCATGCATCACCATACCTGGCAGAAAAACACTTTTTTTTTTTTTAAGGGGAGGTAGTGGGTGAGGGGACCGGCAATCAAACTCAGGACCTTGTGCTTGCCAAGCAGGTGCTGCGCCAACAGAAGTCTATCCTCTGCCCTCCAAATCTATTTCTGAGGGTTGTGGTGTCATACTCTTTTACAGACATCAGAGTATTCCCTGTTAATCTTGCTTGGTCCTCACAGAGGGCAAGTGGGCTCCGAGGCGATCATCCCAGTGAGGCAGCTGAGGTGCTCAGGGTCACATTTATTCCTGGCTCTATGCGAGGTTGAGTCCACACCCCATCATCTACAGTGGGGTGTCCCCCCCCATTCTCTCCTTCCTCAGACTCTATTTCCCATTCTGGAGGTACTGAGGAGTGGGAGATTGGGGGCCAGGTGCGCAAGCAGCCCTTCCCCTTCTTGTAGAAGAGAAGCTCTGGGCCTTTTGTGATGACATCCTGCCCTCCAAACAAGAGAGCAGCTGTGGTTTGGAAATGCACTTCTTCTCATGCAATGCAGTTCAGGCCTAAGTCAGAGCTGCATTCCCTGGGTGCACACAGTGCTGGGTCTTGTCTGTGGTGGGTGATTTGCTACCTCAGTTTGGTCTCCCAGGCAGCAGGGCTGGACATAGAGACTCTCAAAGCCCATTTTCTTCCCTGCCAACTCAGCAGGTTCTGTTCTCCTTTGCAGGGCTTGGTTTCTAACATGACCCTTGGCTTTCATATCCTCACCAACTGGACAGTCTTCCCACTGGACACAGAAGTGGCCGTGCGCAGCCACCTGGGGAGCTGGGCTAACCATGATGCTGACCTCCATGACAAGCGCTGTGTTCATGGCTCATCGAACTACACACTTCCGGCCTTCTATGTGGGCAACTTCTCCATTCCCAGCGAGATCCCAGACCTGCCCCAGGACACATTCATTCAGTTTCCTGGCTGGACCAAGGTACAGTCTCCCTAGCAAGAGTTGGGAGCCAGGCCTCAAGCACCCAGTGTGCAGTGGCTGGGAAAGAATCCCTTAGAACTGCTCATGGGCTACTGCATGACGGTTCGGGGTAGAGGGTTTCCTGTTGGTGAGTCGGCTTGGGGTGCATTTGGCAGCACTTTGGGATTCAGTGGCCAGCGTGGGTGCCCCAGCTGCCCTGTTTTCATTGGCTGGCAGCCTCCTTTGGTGAAAGGTAGCTTTCCTGCTCATACTAAGAGGAAGTAAGGGCCCTTTGGATGCTGCTTATGAGGACAGCTTCCTTTTTATTATAAGGAAAATACAGTCAGAAAAAGGGCAAATCTCTTTTGAAAGTCTCTGCTTCTCTTGTATCCATGCCTGGCTCAGTAATCCTGGTGCATCCTCACTTTATGCATCCTTGGGAAGTCTGCCACTATCTGGATGGTCCTCCAGGCATCTTGTCTGTTTGACTTCCCATCATTCCCTTTATTTCTCAAAGACGCTGGCATATCTTCCTTCACTGTTGCTTTTCTACCTGAAGTCCTATTTTCATTCTGCATGATCTTACCATCACACAGTAATTCAGCAGATGTTTAGGCTATGGCAGCTGTGTCCCTCAGGTTTGTGTCAGGCAGTAAGGATACAGTAATAAATAGAACCACGCTGGGTCCTCGCCCTCAGTTTAGTGCAGCCTGAATTATTTGATTACCCAAATTAAGTGGTAACACTGTAGCCATGATGAGTGATAAGGAAAGACACTGTGTGGACACTAATTGGGGCACTTGAGCTTGTCAGATAAGGGAAGCCTTCCCTAAGAAAGTGGTCCTTCACAGAGATAGGGACAGTGAGTACAGCAAGGAACGGCCGGGAGGAGGAGGTGCACCCACAAAGGCCATGAAGTTGGAAGGGCAAATGACACATGTGAAAATAGGCAGAGATCAGGTTGGGAGAGGCGTTGTAGAGCTTATTAAAGTTTTGTTCTTATCTTGAGAGCCATTGAAGAAGGGGGGTGACATGATATGTTGGCATATGACAAGCTCTCTAACCTGTGCACGGAACAGGTTGGGTGCAAACCTTTGCATTTGACTTCAAGAGGCTGCCTTTGTTCATGCAGACTGCTGTACCAGAATCTCATAAACTAGGCGGCTTGTAAATGTCCAAGACCCACTTGCCAGTAGACTTACTCTTCAGGGAGGGCCCACTTCCTCAGGGTTGGCGTCATCCAAGTCCTGCCATGCTGCAGTGGTCCAGGAAACCCTTGCATGGATGCTCGAGCACCACCGCAAGTTTTCCCCTTCATGACCTGATCACTTCCCAGCCCACCATCTTCTAGTACCATCACCTTGGTAGTTTAGGATTTCACCTTATGACTCTGAGGGGAAACAAGTGTTTAAACCATGATAGAGGCTTTGAGAAGAGCTGACTTTGGAAGTGGGCAGTTAGATCTCTGGGTGGAAAGTTTATGGGCAGGAGCTGGGCCAGGAATACACAGAGGAAACCATGTGTGCATGGATGGTAACTGAAGATGGGGTGAATGAGCTCCCTTGGAAAAAGAGGACACAGAAGGAATAGGGGAGGGCCGAGGGCGGATCTTTGAGAGGTGCAGCATGACCAAGTGAGGAGACCAGCATCTGAAGGAGGAAAGCCGGCATCCATGCTGCTGGGGAGGGACGGGCTCTTTTGCCTTCTCCTGATTTTCTTTTCTCTCTCCTCCTCCTCCTCCTCCTCCTGCTGCTCCTGCTCCTCCTCCTCCTTCTTCCTCTTTTCTTACCATACTGGGGATTGAACCCAGAGCCTCTGCACTGAGCTGTATCCCCATACCTTTTTTTATTTTGAGACAGGGTCTTAGAAGGTTTTTGTTTTGTTTTGTTTTTGAGACAAGGTCTACCTATGTAGTTCAGGCTGGTCTTGAACTCAGTTTGTGTTTGTGGTTTAGGCGGACCTCTAACTCATGGCAAATCTCCTGCCTCAACCTCCCAATGCTAGAATTACAGGCTTGCACATGCACCACCACCCCCTAGCTACTACTATCCTTAAGCTATTAGTCTGCTTTCTCTGTTGCCCTTTCTTGTCCATCCTCTACATTGAAGGGGTCTATTGTTGGCCTTCTCTGCTGGTTCCCCAGTCCCTGAGCTCAGCTAGAGGGCCCAGGCAGTGTTCATGGCTGCCATCCCCTCACTGGCTCCATCCTCAGAAGCTGTCAGACCTGCCCAGCATCTTGGTCTCTCTTTCTTCCCTTTCCCCTGCATCGCACCCCTTCACTCTTTAAGCCACCTTACTCTTCCCCCACCCCCTCCACCGAGGCCTCCTCCTCCTTGGCTGCTATCAGGTGTGGCTCCTTTGTTCCCTGGCTTCCTGTCACAGTCATCTGTCTGCCTCCACCCTCACTTCCTGCCCAGCGGCTTCTAGGAGGCAGTTAGCTCTGAGTCCCCTCCCCTGCACCAGGCCAGGCACCATCCCTGCACCATCTTCAGGGCAGCTAAGAGGTGGTGTCAAGGTGCTGCAGGATTAACCCTGGGAAGTGCTCTCTGGGGTCTCCCCTTGGCCAGCAAGCTGCTCCTTGCTTGCTTACCCCTCATTTCCTCTCCCACTTCCTTAGGAGAAGCAAAGGTCCAGAAATGGAAATGCATGAGACATTTTTAGAGCTCGGAGGTCATAAAGGTGTCACACCCAGTAGTTACTGAGCCAGGCATTCTGACCCATGCTCTGCAGACACTATCTCCCCTGGCATCAGAAGAGGCACATATGGGGAGGATGTCACGTACTTAGTTCCAGTTTGTAGATGAGCAGCAGGTGGCTTCAAGAGCTGCAGATCTGTCTGTGAGATACAGGAGTAGGTGCATCACAGGCACTGCGCCCCAGATCCCTCTGACCTGAAGGCCTGCCTGAAGAGGCAGGCAGCTTTGAATAAGGCCTCAAAGGTCAGTGAGGAGCTTGCACTGATTATTTTCACTGCTGTTTTGGAAATAGAGTGTTGCTGTGTTTCTCAGGCTGCCCTTGATCACAAAACAAACATGGTGACGGGGTCTCACTGAGCTGTTAAATTGCCCAGGTTGGGTACTGGGACTCAAACTCAGTATCTCAGTATGAAGGCCCTAGGTTCAATCCCTGCTACTGCAAGACAAAACCAAAAACCTTAGGCTAAGGGGAAGAAGCCAATCAGAAGACTGTGATTTGAGTATCCTCCAAAACTCATATTGAACTTTGATCTCCCGTACGAGGTATCCAGAAGTGAGAGGCAAGTGAGACCCTGAAATGCTGCTTAGATCACAAGGGCTATGCCCATGTGACTGGGTTAACCCAATTATAAAATAATGGGCTGTCACAGAGCAAACCTGTTACAAATGCCAGCTTCCTCACTCTCTTGTACACTCCCCTCTCTCTGTGTGACGCCACTGCACACCCTCAGTACTTCGCATAGAGTCCCCACCAGCAACAAGTCACCTCGCTGAATGTGGCCTCTTGGTGGATTCTCCAGACTCAGAGCCTGTGCTAAATGAACCTCTGTTATTTAGAAGTTTTGTTATAGCAACAGAAGGCAGATGAAAACAACCACCTATTATTGTGATACCATTTATATGAAACATCTGGAATAGGCAAATCTATAGAGTTAAGGAAATTTGTGGCTGCCTGTAGGAAGGAGAACTTTGTGGGGAATGGAAGTGAATAATAAAGGATACAGGTTTTCTTTTCTTTTCTTTTTGGGTACTGGGACTCAAACTCAGGACCTTGCACTTGCCAGGGAGGTACTATGCCTCAGAGCTATACCCCTGGCTCACAGGTTTTCTTTTGAGGGTGATAAAAATATTCTAAAATTGTAGTACTTGCTCAGCTCTGTATTCATATGTGAATTATATCTCAGCAACCTACACACACAGTCTATCCAAGGGATTCATGGGTACTGAATTGAAGGATGCATATTACATACATAACCCAGAAAATATATTTTGTATGTTTTCTGATACATTATGGGCCTTTCTGCCAAGGGCCAGCTCTAGAAGTTCAGCATGGTGAGCCCACTCAGGACAGAGAGAACCCCTCCATCTGAACTCTGATGTTTGGGTGAATGAGCAATTCAGTGGGTTTTTGGAGGCAGCAAGGGACCAGGTGATGCCAGAAGCCCCAAGCATTTCTAAGGCTGTGTGCCTAGCCGGCTAGCCCTTGCCAAGGTGCCTTCTCCAATCAGAGAAGAGCCTGCTGCAGGCCTCTTCACTTTTGCTATTCATTGCTGTAAAGAAACTAGCTTAGGCTGTGAGCATGGCAGGATATGGGCAGCCCAGGACGGGAGCCACCGGCGTTTACTGGGACCCGCACCTTGCTGGGATCTGGAGGGCCGGGAAAACAAGCAAACCACCACCACCCACAAAGGGCTGTGAGCCTGCCTGTGCACGGGCTGAGAATCAAACATCACATCTCCCTACCCCGCCCCCTCTTAGCAAGTGGGAGCAGTGATCTGGACGTCCCTTGAGAGGTTGGCCATGGGCAGTGTAGCAAATAGGAGGAATTTCCTTCCACCATCTCTTTGAAGGCAAATACCTTTATCCCTGTTTTGCTTTGTTCTAATTAATGGTGTTATTTTAGCCTGTTTTTTGTTGTTGTTGTTGAACAAATATGGAAAATATGAACAGCTATTTTGAAAAGAACGAGAAAGTCTACGGCAGCCATTAGTGACTTCTCTATTGCCTGGTTTTGAAGACCTAAAACGCCTTCCTCATTCTGTTTGGATCAGTTTTATACATGTTGTTCTGTATAAATTCTCTATATGCGAAGACATGGACAACTATTTGGAAGAAAACAAGAGACAATATGAAAGACAGTGAAGGTTCCAGGTTGTCTAGCTTTGAAATTTTATATCTCTTACATTGCTTTCTTATGTCCTATTTTGTTCTGTTTTGTTGTGTTTAATTTTACCCCCTTTAAAATTAAAAAAAAAAAAAAGAAACTAGCTTGATCTAGTGAATGAATTCATCGATAAGGGTGATTCATGGTCTTAAGAACAAATC